TTGTTCTTCGTGACCGGGGGAGGGGTTGCAGGTGGGTGGGGTAATTCTGGGGGGGGACTTGGAGACAGCGGGTGAGAAAATAGGGAGCAGGTTGCCATGGTAACCGCCTCCTCAGTCAGGGGAGCTGTTGCCAGGGTTACTGTTGGGGGGGGGAGAGATAGTGTGTGTGGGGGGAGGATGACTTGTCACTCTAGGCTCCAGCCTGGCTCCTAGCTTCTGAGTTTCTATCTCTACTGCCTAGCCTAGGTCCTCCTTTTCTCCCTCCAGGCCTGTTCCCTACTCCATGTCCTAGGCACAGGCCTGGCAGGGCAAAGTGGGAGGTGGGTGGTGTCCGTAAGTGAACCAGACCCTGTACACGAAGCTCAGACTCCTCTTCTTTGTTGCCTCCCAGCCCTAGTCATGGCAGAGTATGGGACTCTCCTTCAGGATCTGACCAACAACATCACGCTTGAAGACCTGGAACAGCTCAAATCAGCCTGTAAGGAGGACATCCCCAGTGAGAAGAGTGAGGAGATCACTACGGGCAGTGCCTGGTTTAGCTTCTTGGAGAGCCACAACAAGCTGGACAAAGGTGGGGAAGGGGCTCGTCACGAATAGAGATGATCACGAAGCCCTTACAACACAAAGCGAGAGATGCTTAAAAAGATATGTAAGGAGGCTGAGGATTTAGCTCTGCAGTTCCACTGCCCGCCTCAAAAGTGCAAGGTCCCAAGTTCGATCCCCATTACCAAAAAAAAAGAAGCTCTAGGGCAGAATTCACCCATTTTTCCACACTTGCTCCTTGTCAGTAAAAAACGTTACTCAGATTCTTTTGTTACCACATATATAACAGAGCACAAAACAGATTTCAGAAGTGGTAAAATTAAAAATGAAAGTCAACTTCTAACATTTTCTTAATCATTTCTAGAGACTATTGCTGGGGTTGGGAGGACTGTGCGAGGGACCAGGATCACAGCAGTTCACCACAGCTTTAGGGAGGATTGAGTTATTTCTAAGGCAGACTCCAAGGGAGGGCCTGCTAGCCAGAGAACAGTCGCAGAGGCGGGTGTGCAGTGTTTGGAAAAGCAAGAGTCCTGCTTAGCTTGACAGATAACTGGGTATGTTTAGAAGTAGCAGGGAAGTCAAGACTGTTGCAGAAGGTCTTGGTAAGAGATATTTGAAAGAGAAAGTGACCTCAGGGCCCTTCAGACACACACTACTCTGTGTGGATAACGGAGTGAGGGTGAAGGAAAAGATTATAGACCTCCTTATCAATAGTCAGGGTAGGAGCAAGAGCAGGTCTGAGGGCATCTGTAAAATCTTAGAACTGCCAGCCACGGGAGAACTTTCTTCTGGATGCAGCTGTGCCTTTCTCTAGATTGTCTAGAGGTTCCGTCCTCCCATCCCACACGTGCTTGCTATTGGGAGATTCTTCCTGATTAGTTGCAGGGAAAGTAGAAGCAGCACAAGGTAGGGTGTGGGGTATGTGGAAGGCAGTTCCCTAGAACAGCACTGTTGCAGGAGTGCCTTAGCTTTCTTTGCCTTAGTAGTCCCTCTTCTGCTGATATTGCCCCTTCAAATAATGTGAACAGTATTAGAATTGGGTCCCAGACACTGGTCTGGTAGAACAGGGGCAGCTGACTTCTTAGTCCAGGTCTGACCCAGTCTCCTGCCACCTTCTTCCAGACAACCTCTCCTACATTGAGCACATCTTTGAGATTTCCCGCCGTCCTGACCTACTCACCATGGTGGTTGACTACAGAACCCGTGTGCTGAAGATCTCAGAGGAGGATGAGCTGGACACCAAACTTACCCGTATCCCCAGTGCCAAGAAGTACAAAGGTGAGTGGCCAGGCCGTTACCATAGTTGAACCCTGCCCCTTCCCCTTGATTATCCTTGGAGTATATGAATTTGGGGGGAGAGGAGGCTGATGCCCAGTGGGCCTGCCTGTTGTCTCCCACAATCTCCATCCCTGGATGCATCCCTTTTTGCCCCCAGACATTATCCGGCAGCCCTCTGAGGAAGAGATCATCAAATTGGCTCCCCCACCGAAGAAGGCTTGAGCAAAGGGGAGGAAGAGGAGGAAGGTTGGACCTTCATTGGACCACTCCCTTCCCCATCCTCCATGGGAATGGGCAAGGGCAACCCCCCCACGTCCCCACTTACTAACCTGGTCCTAACCCCTTACTGTGCGCGTGTGTGTGCGTGTGCGCACGCTCTGGCTGTCTGTCTATGTCTAGCTCATCTAGTTCCTCATGAGGGGATGGGGGTCGGGGATGGGGGGTTTAGTTTCCCCACCCTAGGGGAGAGATGGGGGCTATTTCTATGCAAATAGAAATTGGCACATTCCTATTTCCCTTTCTTCCACTCTTCCCTCAACATCTTTAAAGAGTAGAAGCAGGAAAGACCTGCATTTTCCTAACTGAGGAGCTGAGGTGGAGATGAGGTATAGGAGGTGGGCAGATGAAAGGAAAAGCAGTGGGGAGGGAAGATGAAGAGTCCACTGGCCCCTATGTGGAAGGGGCAAAGAAAAGCCAGGGTTCAGTATTTGTGTCCCCTTGAAGGACTGCCTAAGAGTCCAGTTTCCTGCTACTCCTCAGGCTGGAGGGCCTTGGTGCCAGCAGGTCTCTTTTTATGCCCTTCTCATGGGCCTAGAATGGGTATGAGCCAGGGGTCTAATGAGAGCAGCCCACTGGATCCTTGGCTGGTCCCAAAGATCAAATCCTATGGAGCAGCCAGCATCTGATCCCGCCCCACCCCAGACGGTGCTGGGAATATGCACCACTGAGCCTGAGCTGGGGACGCAGGCAGAGAGGGGCCCCTTTCCATACCTTTAGTCCGACTCAGACTGTTGCATATACTGACCTGAACCTAGGGAAATGGAGAAATAAGATCCTTAGGTTTAACCTCAACCTGCCCCACCACAGGGTCCCCACATGGACATTACAGGCAACCTTCTCCCTTTGCTTAGTCTGGAACACTCATAAGCCACAAAGAAGTGAAACTAGTGTTTTCCTGTGCACTGATCCTCATCCCTGTTCAATCCAGGAGGGACTTGCTGACCCTTCTCACTTGATACCCCGGCCCCTTGGGCTTGTGGACGCCTCCCAGCCAAATCACTATAGTACAGTGAGTGACCCCAGCCTCCTGCCTGTCCCAACCTTGACCGTGCTAACTGTGTGTACATATATATTCTACATATATGTATATTAAACCCGCACTGCCATGTCTGCCCATTTTGTGGTGTCTAGCATTAACTTATTGTCTAGGCCAGAGCGGGGACGGGAGGGAGTGCCACAGTGAAGGGAGCGGTGGAGTCAAAACTGCTGCGTACTCCAAACAGAAAAGCCTTTAGAAAAAAATAAAATCAACAACAAATAGTATATTTACATGCAGACTTAGAGACTAGAGAAAGTTGAAGCTTGAAGTTATCAAAATGTAGGAGCAGACTTTGATAGTGGGAGGGGAGGGCTGGCTGTTGAAGAGGGAAGCCAGGCTGGTTAGAGAGCACCCTTGACTCCTAGCCCAGCCATCTGCCCATCTCCTCTGGCCACTGCTGCGGACACCTGCCTTAACACACGAGGACTCCACGGTTTTGCCTTAAAGGACCTCCCCAAGTCTCACCAGCTCTGTATGGCTTCTCCCTTAAGAGATACTTATAAACTGGGGGCAGGGATGAGGATGATCAATCCTTCCTTTTGGGGTATTATGTGAGAGCAGGAATAAAGTAAGAGTAAGCAATCTTCTTCATGGAAGAGAGACAGGGTTATTTTCAGCAGTCTTAGTAGTTTCTCTCTGTAAGGCAAAATAATCTGAACAGACTAACCTGCCCTCCCACTCTGTACTGCTGTGAGGTTGCCCCTACCACGTGCTCTGTCTGCAGTGTGCACGGCCTTGTTCTAACCCTGGAATAAAGGTGACTGACTGTACTGTACATGACTGATTCTAGAATTTCTGTGACCAACCAGGATTTTGGAGCCTCCAAATCAGAGAAGGAGGGAGAAGAATATTTATCCCTACATCCTTCATTACAGCCTGGAACAGAGGCTTAGAAGATAACCCAAATAGTACCCACACCTGGTCCTCATCTCTGGTGTATGTGGAAGGGGGCCTATTCCATTTACAACTGTCTCCATCTGGCTGAGCACTGAAACAGGGTGATACCAGACTGAACTCCTAAAATTTTATCATCAGAGCGAGAGGGCAGGGCCAAACACCTGTACTGGAAGGAACAAGAACCATCTGTCATGAATGAATGGACCACATACCACACACAGCAGCAGTCAGGTGGGGAGAAGCTTTACTGAGAAAATACAACAAATTCCAGAGTGCATGGTTTTCAGCTTACCTCATTACCCGCTAGCCATAAGGGCTCAGACCCTCAATCACTATACATTCCCTACCTCAGGGCGGAAATGCAGTAACTAACATCTGGTCTGAGAGCTGCTAGGAAAAGAGGAAGAAGGAAGGAGTGTCTGGGAATACCATCTTCTTACTCTTTCCCCTTCCTCCTTGGCCTGGGTTAGTAGAATCCAACTTTCCCAGGATGCAGAATTCCCGATTGGATCTTGTGGAAGTTGGGGGCAAAGAAATAGCAGCAAGAGCATTTAAGAGCAAGAATTCAACTGGGACTCTCAAGCCCCAGGAACCAGAATCAATCCTTAAATTATTGGCATGTCCTCAATCCCAATGTATCAAGAGGCTGACAAGCATAAAGTCAATCCTAGGAAGTTCTTTCAGTCTTTCATTGGGAAGGGTGCTTATGTGTAGAGCTGGATGGCTTACAAAAAAATCAAGCAGCTTAAGGTAAGAGTATGTCTTCCATCACACATCAGTACCAGGAGCGTCTGCCACGGCAGTGTCCTTCCTGAGGCACTTCACAGGCAGGCCAGCCTCTGGTTACAAGAGCCATCCGGGGAGCTTCCCACAAGACTTAAGGAGAGGCAGGAGACCTGAAACAGTTGAATTTCTTGCTTCTCCTAACTCCTCCGTAAGACAGGGAAGGGCAGAAGTGAAGATCCTTCCATTATTTCTTCAGCCTAACACCTAAAGGTAAGCGCCGCGCTCTAATGGCCATCGTAAAGGGACGATGACCCCAGGTGTGACCTGTGTCAGTGCCCTTGCTCATTCTTCCTCTAAGTCCCTTTATTGCGTTCATAGAGAATATATAGGTATTTAAACTTTGACAATAATTTTAACTTGTACATCCAAGTTTCACTTGCTTTTTAATATATTTATAGATATAAAATTAGGCCTCTAACAGTGATAGGGACAGGTAGATTGCTGCCACCAAATAATCTTTTAAAAAAATAACATAAGAGGTAACATCCTTACTATTCTTCCTCCACCCCTGCCCCTCCACCCACCTCTTCAACCTTTCTCACCAGCCCTATTTAGGGGCTGATGAAAAGAGTGAAGGATACATACTCAAGTGCAAAACACTGTGCTAAGTACAGAGGATGAAGTGGCGAGGACAGTGAAGAGTGTGCGATGGTAGGGGCTCCAAGGACTTCTCAGAAAAACTGGATCCTGGGGTGGGGTTGCTGGTGTGTGGTGGGGAACCAATGAAACTCATAGACTTTTAAAAACAAAAAAAGGTCAAACACTTAACCAAAGAGAGAGTGGCATTTCTAGCCTCCACTGACCCTTTGGTACTGAACAACCAGTTGCCCCCACACCCCCCGCAAAACAAACAAGAGATTATAAAGAAAAAGAAGCCCCATTTCCTATCCTAAACAAGTTAACAAAATAGGCTCTCTTCCCCAGTAAAAGGGCTTCAGGGAGAGGCAATTTCTGGAGTCCTTTGCATTTTGCCACAGAACCCCGTTCCAGGGCTCAACTCCCACTCCTAGGTGCTCTCTGTTGCTTCATTTCTCTCTGGTCTGTCCTCCAGGGATGTCTTTCTTTTATCTGAACAAAAGGTCCAAAGTGCGTTTCTGTTGAATGCAAGGGCCCAGGACAGGAAAGGGGTGCCCAGGCAAGATTGGGTTGGCAGCCCGGCCCGCCCCTCCTAGGTGTGAGGCCTCAGGATGGCATGCACTGGACCCGGTCTGGGCCCTCCTCCTCGTCCGAAGTGTCTGAGGAGCTGGGAGACTCATCAGAGTCCGCGTCTGTGGCCCCAACCCCAGGTTCTCTCCAGCGCTGTAGGATGGGAAAGCCTTATTAGTAACTTCCCTGGAACAAGGACAAGCCCGTTAGGTCTTGGGCTAAGAATCAGAATTTTTCTTAGAGGGCCAAATAAGTACGTATTTCAGGCTTGTGGACCATAAAGTCTGCTGTAAATATTCTGCTCTGCCACTGTACCATGAAGGCAGCTACGGACAATACAGAGAATAGGAGTGGCTGTACTTTGATACAACTTTATTTTCAACAATTGGCAGTATCCCAACTGCTAGTTTGCCAATCCTTGCCCTGGCCTTATAGCATGAGAGTAAGTACAAAAGGGTCACCCTGAAACTGACTAGTTCTTCCTCACTCCCACCCCTCCCTTCTGCCATTAACTTTATAAAGATAGCACTCTTCCTGTTCAGTAATAGAGGACAACACTCCTTTCTGCTGGTGGCTCTGATGGGGAAGGGACAATGGGTGGGAAACCCAAGACCACTTGATTCCTCCTTGAACTACGAGGACAGGTGCAATGAAGTATTTTTAGCCCTCTTAAGTGGATCACTGCCCTGGAGTGTTCATTTCCAGCCCCAGCTTACCCGATGATGGCGTCTCTGTCTCAGGTGATGCATAAGGAACCACAGCATGTGGCTATCAAACAGGTCAGTGTGGTGTAAACTATCTTCATCACGCTCTCGCTTGTTCTTCTTAATCACCTGGAACCCAAAATAATTGGGGGCAGGAGTGGCAATGAATAGGGACCCTGAACTTCAGTGAGAAAGGCTAGAATTCTTTCCCAACAAAAACTTCCCTTGGGTGATATTAAGCTGAAGTGGAACTAGATTGGATAAGATTGGCTAAGTGGTTTGCCACTAAGAGGGGATACTTTAATACAGAATAATTCTTCCTGGAGATGCTCCCTTACCCAGCCCTAGAACCAACTAGAGGTACTTCATAGCAGTTCCCACCCCTAGCAGCAGGGCCGTTCCTTTAAAGGCAACGACAAGAATGTAGAGGAAAGCATTAAGAGTAATACCTTTGAGAAACCGGACAGCAAGTTATTCCTTCCTATTACAATGAGGATTCCTAACAATGTGGGGGTAAGTAGAAAGAAAAGAACTTCTTCAGCCATCCACTTACATCCTTTAACCCTGTCAGCTCAGTGGAAGCTTCCGCTGTGGGTGCCCAGATCTTTACATCATGGTCTAGGCCACTGGTTGCCAGCACAGGCAGATGTGGGTGGGGCTCAAGACAGTTCACCTGATCGGGAAGCACAGGATTAGGGGTGCATGGGAAGTAAGGTTTAAAAACCACTACTTACCTTGGGCCAAACAACTGCCCTCCATCGGGGCTGTTGCTAGAAAGGCAGGCCCACCAATCCTGAGCCTAGGCTAAATTCAGGCACCTGCAGGTAGAGGAAACACTGGCCATAGACTGAGAACAGGACCGGGCACACCTATCATTTCCTATGCACTGGTCAGGAGTGCCTTCATCCTTAGACACAACCCTAGGAGTAGAGTTAGTGACTAGCCATGGTTATTGCTGGTTTTACAAGAAGGCCACAAAGTCCAAATGACCTCAATCAGTCCAGATTCTAAAGCTCCAACTTGCCTCAGGCAGGTAAAAAACAAACAAACAATAAAAAACAAAACACCAGTGGCTTTCATCGAGTGGCAAGTAACTTTTAAAAACTGAAGGAAGCAGCAGCTGCCATGGAGCCTCCAGAGAAAAGTCAGAAAACAAATTACTGTCACCTGGCACTGTTTACTAACTGGAGGAAGGCACAGCTTGGGAAGAAAAGGCTGATCTGGAGAGAGAGTAATGGAGGCTAAAAACTCTATACAGGGCTGGGGATTTAACTCAGTGGTGCCGATCCCAAGTTTAATCTTCAGTACCAAAAGAGCAAAAAAACTCTATACATCCCAGGGACAACATCCGCCACCTGCCCTAGAACACCATGAACTCAGCTACAGATGAGCAATGAGTAATAAGGGAGCTTCCAAAGGCGCCCCCTCATCGATTCCATCCACCCTCTAAGCACATTCCCTGAACTGCAGAAAAAAGATGGCTGGTAGGCCTTTGGGCTCTAGCAGCTTCCTTTGGCCTCAAAGCACCATGACCCTGCTGTACAACATAGAAACATGAGCTTCCCAGGCAGGGCAGGGTACTTTGTTCCCCACTGGAAGAGCCAGTCCCAGATCTAGCTGCTAAAGCATTTTTGGGCTTTTAGTCAGATAAGCAGCAGACAGGAAAAGGCAGGTGCAAGACTGCCCTTTAGTTCAAGAAGACAACTGGCAAAAGCCTCTTCCAGTCCTCTCTGGACCAACTTCCTGTCTCGAACTACACACTCAGAGAGCAGCTAAGGAGAGGCTAAGGGTAGCATTGAGAACAAAGCCACCTGCAGACTTCCATTTTACAAATAAACAAATGCAGCTGGGCATGGTGGCGCACGCCTGTAATCCCAGCACTTGGGAGGCTGAGGCAGGAGGATCCCTGTGAGTTCGAAACCAGCCTGGGCTACATATTGAGTTCCAAGTCAGTCTCAACTACACAGTGAGAATGTCTCAAACAAACAAACAAATGCTCAGAAAAGATTGGTTTTTAAGCCTGAGTCTATGAGTGAAGTAGAAAGCCATTTGTTTTTCTCCTCCCATTTCACACTTCAGCTCATTGTAGTTCATGTCTGGGCTTCCAGGCAGTGCATGTGGAGCATGAAGAGACCTAGAAATATTATTAAAAGATATGTACTATAATAATTTATACAACCTGAACTCATTTATCCATCTCTGATAAGCCCTTGCTACAGACCTGTACTCGGAGCTAGCTCTGCTTCAATAAGTGAGCAAAATTTTTAAAAAAGCACAGGGAAGCAACTCCTTGGTTCTTAAAAAGGAAAAAGCCAATGGTAAGAGGAGCAGAATAAACTACATACAGTACCTGAATTGGAGCTGCAGGGGGAGCCGACAGACCAGGGTATCTAATCACGGCCAGACCTGTCTGAATATCAGGACTTTCCTGTCACTAACATTTGAGCCGAGAAAAAGAGCTCTGGCCTTAGAACACTGGGCTGGGCAATGCAGGGAATGGGATATAGCATCACATCAATCTTGGTAGACTAAGAAGTTGCCCTTTGATATCATACCCCAGCCATGTACCTGCACAGTTGAATGGGAACAATGAAAGGACCCCAAAACAAGAATTAAGAAAGCCGGATAACTTCCGAGATCCTTCTGGTTCTAACAGTCTACTTTATTGTAAAGAATAGTTTCATGGTCTACACTGAGGTTGGAGCCCAGTGACACCCAATGCTGGAAGGTTAGGACAAAAAAGCAGATGAAGCCAAGTGAGGACTACAAAGAGATCATTTCGCTTACACAGAGGCAAAAACAAGTAAGGAAATTCACTTCAGGCAATAGTCTGTCTACCTCTTCAAACTACTAAAACTCAGGCCACCCATCCCAAGCAGATGGTTTCCCCACCAGAATACCTGGGTTAATCATCAAGCCCTGGTACTGCCCGAGCTGAGAGCAAAGTTGGCCTGCAGAATGCTTTTGGAGAACAAACAAGTGCTGGCTTGGAAGAGGGCATTCATCCCTGCATTACTCTGGATAAAATCTGATTCCTTCTGACTATATGCCTACTGCAGAATTCTCATTAAGACCAGTATTTTGTATTGGTTAACTGCAGATTATGGAAGGAAACCTAGAAAGAGTAGGAAATGAAGCAGGGGAAAGTGAGACACATCTTAAACTACCTTGAACTTCTAGACTCCTCGCTATTTTGCTATTTGGTTTGTAGAAGCCTTGACCTATATAGGTCTCTAAAACTTAGAGAAAACTAGGAAAAAATGTGAAATACCCTTAACAGCAGGGCAGGAAAAATGTAAGAAAGAACAGGATCCTGATTATAAATAAGGAACCATTTTAAATTCTACAACTACCCTCTGGTAAATTTCATCAAGTCATGGCTAGACTCTGAAGTTTCCCATAGCTTAGAAGGAATGAAAAGGGAGCCCAAGCAGTCAATTACGATTTAGGTGCCTTGAGTAACCAGACAATTTCATTATCAGTATAATATAATCTTCCAAATGGACTTTTTCTTATTTTCTATGATCCAAAAACTTTATACTAGAAAGCTGTTGAACTCTTTTTTTTTGGTACCAGGGACTGAACTCGGGTCCTTGTGCTTGCAAGGCAGGCCACTGAATCACTAAGCTAAATCCCCGGCCCTGTTGAACTCTATCTTAACTCTGGGTCTTAAAGGGGGAGGGTGGCATTCATTAGATCCAGCTCAATGTATCTGGCCACTTTTCTCTCCTTAGCTCAATCCTCACTCTTCCTTTTTGCCCTCTCCACAAAGGCTGCCTGTAGAACTTAAAGTACAGGCAGACTGTGATATAATCATGGGTTGTACAGCCAGATATTCACCCACTCTTAAGAAAAAAACAAAACAAAACAGTGCTACATACAATGCACAGTATGTGTATCCATTTGAAAGTGTAAACTTCACCCCTAAATATTTTAACATGTATATCTTTAAGTACTAAATATTATCACAAATTTAACAATGAATATCCGCTATCTAATATATAAGCCATATTTTGATTTTCCCAACTGTCAAAAAAAAAGTTCTACTTTTTATCTGTTTATCTAGGAGCCAGCCAAGATCACTGCTTACTTAGTTTACTTACGAGATAAGGCATGGAGATATATCAGAGATAATTTTAACATTGTGTAGGACAGCGTGCCCTGAACTGTAGGTCCATGCTTAGAGGTCAGTTATCTCACTCAGGCCAGTTTTTCCCTAAAATCCCTTCCTCTTCTCAGTAAACACTTTTGGAGGCAGAAGACAAAAAGGAAGAAAATACTCCATGAACCCTCAGCATTCTCGGGCTTCAGCACTGTCTTTTTCTTTTTCTAAAATGGGGATCTTATGCCTGTAATCCCAGCACTCAGGAGGCTGAGGCAGGAGGATCGCTGTGAGTTTGAGACCAGCCTGGGCTACATAGTGAGTTCAGGTCAGTCCAACTACATAGTGAGACCCTGTCTCAAAAAACAAAAACAAACAAAAATAAATAAAATGGGGATCTTGCCATATTGTCCAAGCTAGTCCTGAACTTGTGAGCCTCCCCTACCTGGACTTCCCAGGAACTGGGATTACAGGCATGTGCCACTATGCTCAGCTCTACGCTGCCTTTTAATTTAGCTAGCTCAGCCTCTAAGATATGGTATCACATAGGTCACAGTAAAAATCCAGTGGCCCTGCTAAAACCTATCTTAATGACCCGAGAAACTAAGAAGCCAGATGGCCACACTTACCACACCTCCCTTGTCTCCCTCCATGAACTGAATGATCTGGCAGGATGATTTCTCCCAGAGGAAGATGTGCCCGCAGTCACTACCGCTCACCACAAACTCACTCTTGGGGCCATAGAAATTGACACCTTTTACTGAAATGATAAATGAGGGAACAAACCACATGATGGTTGGCACTGGGCCTATACATGTTTATCTCACAGTGAATTTCACTATTCATAAACTATTTTTTTTAAAATTGAGTTTAGTGGTACATTTTTGGTATACAGTACAGTTACATTCATTATTGGGATCTTGTACCCTTACCTGATAGGTCTTGGTTCTCATTTTTTCCCCTTGTCCCTGCCCTCCCTTCACCCCCTCTTCTCCTCCCCGTTTACAAACACTTTATTTCCATTTTTTCATTTTCTCATATTTTTTTCTTTTCCCTTATTACCTTTCCCCTACCCTTCCCACTTTCCCTACACCTTTAGCCCTTTTCTTCCTGTTTCACAGTCAATTATCTCATTAGGATCTTATGTACTATTATAGCTTTTCACACCAGAGAAACTATTTGGTATTTGCGTATGTGTGACTTATTTATTTCACTTAGGAGTATGTCCTCAATATGTATCCATTTTCCTGTGAATGAATCTACTTTCTCATTCTTTATGACTGAATAGTAACTATTCATAAACTCTTAAAATCAGCCAAAATCTTAATTTCTTTCATCTTCATGAAAACAAATCAAGAGGTTATGAATATATGTTAGTTATAAGAATCATATTCATTCCAGAGACTATATTCTCCTTCAAAGAGCTCCATACGGAGCTGGGGATTTAGCTCAGTGGCTCTGCTGCCTGCCTTACAAGTGCAAGGACCCGAGTTCGATCCCTGGTACGAACCAAAAACAAAACAAAAAAAAGGATTCCAAAGAGCTCCACAGGGTAAAGCAATCTGTAGTGCCTTAGCCACAGCCTGCCTCATTTATACCATATCATGCAATCACAGGCCCAATGCCTTCCCTGTCCCAACCTGCACTGCTCTAGCTCTGCCTACTCCGAGAGAGTATTGCCTTACGCCCTAGGATTATTCTTGGTATGTACTTCATTGGTGCCTTGTCAAGGTTTCCTGGGTCACTGGCTGATCTGAGACTGCAGATACGTTATGGTTTAGACTGAAAATGTCCTTCAACTCTCATGTGTTCAGAAGGTGATTGGATCATAGTGTGTGCTGTAGTCATCAGTGATTCATCCACTGATGAGTTCAATTGTTTGTGTTAGGAGGTCGGGCCTGGTTGGGAGGAGTGGGTCACTGGGGGTGTGACCTGAAAGGGTGTATTCTTGTTTCTAGCTCCAGTCTTCCTTCAGGGTCTCCGCTTCCTAGCTGCTAAATGAGTGGTTTTCCTCAGCCACGTCCTTCCATCATGCTGCCTGTGCCTGAGTCAGCTGACCTCGGCCAGGCCCCATTGGAAGCTGTGAGCCAAAGAAGCCTCTCCTCCAATTTGTGAGTACTGGGTATTTTGCCCCAGTGATGAGAAAGGGACTAATATATAAGGTATATGCTACAACTGCCTTTAAGAAGCATCTGAACTATGCTTTCTAAAAGGACTAACAATGCTCTATTTTCTTGAATTAGTAAAAGAAGACAAGAGGCCCAATTAATATAGCCAGTTCCATACTTTTTGCCTATGGACTGAGATCCAAGCAGTTTTTTCTCCTTCCCTTCTCACCAGCTCAAAAAAAAGGCAAAACTATCTAACTGCTATTTCCGAGTTAAATTATGACAGATATTTGGTTAGCAGTAGTAACAACAAAGAACAGCGATTCCCCACATTTTTGTAAATAAGAATCATGTGGAGCTTTAAAACTTCCCAACACACCAATTAAATCGCGATGGTAGCATATGAGGGTAGGAGCCAGGCATCAGTATCTTTAAAAGATTACCAAGTGTCTCCAATGTGTGCTGTAGTTTGGGAACCACAGACAATAACGAAGGCCAATCTTCACTGCAAAATTAGGCTAGGTACCACCCACCACTGATCCTTTTCCTCTGCATCATTAAAAAAAAAATAAATTTCCTTTTCCCTCCCCACAGGTACAAGCTTACTCCCCATTTTACGTAATTCAGCACCATTTGCTAAAGAAGACTTACCTATCAAACCCTCAGTGTCTATTCTGAAGTTACTTGAAATCATAAAGAGAAAAGTCAGTCTAGTCTCATTCACAAACCTAGGGCTGGGGATTTAGCTTAGTGGTTCCACCATCTGCCTCACAAACCGATTAGAAGAAACATCACTATAGTCAAGAAACTCTTGAGCCCTTGCCTATCATGAGAGAAAAATAAAAAAACAAAAAAACAAAACAAAAAAAAACCCTAAAAAAACAAAAAACATGAGAACTCATCCAATTTGAGATAAACTCTCACTGCCCAAGGTGACGCAGAAGCCTAGTCCTTAGGCAGTTCCCATTTGTATAACCAGAATAAGATATTTGGTTCTTCAAGGTGTGGGCCATAGAAACCTGATACTCACCCGTGGCATTATTTCTGTGGCCCTTGTATCTCTTAACATATTGGGCCCCATCACTGTGAGAGGAGTTGAAGAGGTAAATGTCTTCATCATTGTAACTGGCCAGGAGCTCTGCCAAGAACAAGAACACAGCAGTGAAGGAAAAGGCTGAATAATACAAGGACCAGGAGTTGGGGTTTGGGGTGAGGCTTATGGACAGTAGTGACCCCTCCTAATACCCAAGTATAGCACCCATCTTACTTAACTGGAACAGCAGGAAGTGAAGTTGAATAGGGTAGATTAGGAACACACTGCCAACCCAGGGTAGCAGAATGATCAGGAAGAACATGTCCAATAACTCAGGAATGAGTCAAAGGCATAAAAACCTGCTCAGGCAAGCAGCTTGAGATTCAGGACAGGCTCTGCCAATAATCATGTGCAACATTCTGCAAATGGTGTCTGGTGTCTCCGAGGGTCATCTCCTACATCCTCCCACTATGTGCTCACCATCAGCAGCTACTCCCCAGATGCTCCACTTGGAGCTATAGCACAGTGGTGAGCACTGGAGGGCACATGCCTCACTGGCTCAGCAGCTCCCTAGACAGAGGGGGCATGCCAGCCTAGGAGCTGGGCCCTGCTCACGTACCTGTGCCGTCGTGGCTGTACACAAGACAGGTGATGTTTGCTTTGGACTCACTGTTCACCTGCAATGAGGAGCAGATACTGACTGATGTCCCTCCCCCCCCACTTTTTAACACCACCTTCAGGAAAAGGTTTTCCTTCAAACTCCCCTATAATCTTCTCCCAGAGATTGAGACAGACAGACAGACAGACAGTAAAGCGGATGCGACATGAACAGCTCTACAGAGAAAGTCTTAGGGCCTTTCCTCCGTTGTCTTTTGTGTGCTGGCCATTTCATACACACTGTCTCATTAAGCCTCACTATGAGGATACAAGGCACTTATTTGTCCTATTTGTTGATGAGAAAACTGAGGCCAACAGAGGTGAAGAGACTGTCCAAGATCACAAAGCTGGTGTGTGGGAGAGCCAGGGTTCAAATCTAGATGGCCGATTTGAAAGTCCAATCCCTTCCCACTACACCAGGTTCTAGGGCAGTCTGGGATCAAATCAGGGACGCCAGGAGCTGCTGGCTTCACGAATCTTACCAGGTGATGAGGACAGAACTTCTTGAGTACTCCATTGTTCTCATTCTCATCAATTTTCCTCTGGTCATAAATTCTGTAACGGAAGTAATGAAATGTCAAAACTTAGAAATGATCCCTTGAAGAGCTGCAATTTGACATGGTGGCAGGAGGCAGCCAGCTGGATGCAGATATATGACATTTTTCCATCAAGCTTCTGGTGAATACTCTTCTATAAAGATCCTCCCTTACCCAATCCATTTCTAAATCTGTTCATCCACGTACTTTTCATATTACAAAGCAGTACTCAGTTATATCAGTCTGAAAAGGTTTATCTTTTCTCTCAACTTTCTTCATCACTTGACTGTTTATTTTCACTCAAACAACTAACATTACTATGGAGCTTTTCATATGTGCTACCAAACCAGAGTTTACTACTCAAGATGAGAGACTCTGCTTTACATATGTCAGTGAGTCTTGCCAATTTCTCTATAGCTATATCCCTCCAGGGACCTTATTTTATCCATTAGTCCATTTCTCAACCTCTTCATCATCATGTCCACTCATTGTGAAAAAATCCTTTCCTACTGTTACTGCTTTTTATCTCCTTCCTTTGCAAATTACTAAAAAGTATAATCTAAAATCAATGCTTTCATGTCCTTACATCTTATTTACTTCTCAGTTCATCCCAGTGCATCTTTGACCCTAAAACTTTCACCATTAAAACGTCTAAGTCATCAGTAATTTAACTGCCAAAGCCAATGAGATACTTTTTAAAGCCTTTCTTGTCCCAACATCCTTACTCCTTCCCTGAAACACCACTGTTCCTAAATGTTCAACAACCACTCTTAATGGGTTTGTCTCTGTCCTGCCCTTAAATGCTGCTATTCCCAAGAGTGCAGTCTAACCTCTCATCTCACTTCCCCACCTCCTGGGGTGCTGGGGATCAAATCCAGGGCTTCACAATTAGCTCTGAGCTACACCCCAGCCCTCTCATCCTACTTTATACTAGAAAATTTTAAACTGGAGTGGAAACAGTATGTTAATCTCCAGAAATTTGTGCTTATCTACATTTTTCTGGAGAAAAGAAACCACCATTTTCATATTCTCAAAGAAGCCAGAGACTCAAAAGGATAAAAAAATTCTGTTCTACATCGCAGTTTCCCCATATCCATACTTTTGCTTTCAATGATTTCAATTACCCAGGTAACTATGGTCAGAAGATATTAAGTGGAAAAGTCCAGAAAAAAACAATTCATAAGTTTTTTTAAATTCATAAGTTTTAAGTAACTTTTACTAAACCATATTGGTATAATTATTCTTTTACGTGTAATTATATAGGGATAGGAAAAATATGGTGCATATATAAGGTTCAATTCTAGCCACAATTTCAGGTATCTGCATCACTAGATCACACTTATTACAAGCTCTGTACTTACTTCTACTTCATAGTTCAGTGTTGTAATGGGTTGCCCAAAAGTAAACTCATTTTCCTTCTAAAACTAAAATCCTAAACCTATCCCTTTCCCCTAATCCCCACCCTCTCAGTACTGAGGATTGAACCCAGGGCCTTTACACTGAACTACAGCTTCTCAAAATTTATTTTGAAATAGGATCTCACTAAGTTGCTAGGGTGGGCAGGAACTGACAACCTTCCTACTTCAACCCCCTTCGTTAATTAATTAATTAATTAATTAATTAGGACAGGGTCTTGCTATGCAGTTCAGGGTGTCCTTGAACTCACTTGTAGCCCAGGTTGGCCTCAAACTTGTAGTGATCCTTCTGCCTCAGCCTCCTGAGTGCTAGGATTATAGGTGTGCTATCTTTTTAAAATGGCACTTTCCTTAGTACAAGTGGCCAAGTCAGAAATTAGGTCTTCTTTCTTGTCAAATTCATTTCATTGGCAAATATCTGGCTTTTCCCCACCCTTGCCCTTTTTTGACTAAATTATTATTATTATTTATTATTTTGCTTGTTTGAGGCCACTATGCCCAGCTTGCCTAAATTACTGTAGTATCCTCCTGATTTCACTGCTCATATTATTATCAGAATTATATCAAAAATGCAAAATTTGCTGAGCATGTTAGCACATGCCTATAATCCCGGTACTTGGGAAGCTGAGGCAGAAGAATTAACTGTTGAGTTCGAGGCCAACCTGGGCTACATAGTGAGTTTAAAGCCAGCCTGACCTGCATAATGACTTGTCTCAAAAAAAAACCCCAAAAAACAAAAAACAAAATTTTACTACTACTTAAATCTCTCAGTGATTTTGTACAATCTACTGAATAAAATTCAAACTCTTTAATATGGCTACATGGAACAACCAAAAAAAACCCTCCTGTTTCCTTGAATATACTGTCACCTTTTCTTATCTTACCTCTAACACATATTCTCTTTACCTGAAATACTAATTTCACCATGGTCTTAATACTTAGTCTGTAAGGGAGGAAAAAGAAATGGTTTCCAATGTATTTAAGCAATCATACCTGAGTTCAAATACTAACTCTGCCACTTATTAGCTTAGTAATATACGAGGTAAGTTACTTAAAAGCTCTCACCTTCATATATCTGTTTCTACAGAATGTTCCTTAACACATCCCACCAACTGGAACCATTGGTGGTAAATGCCTGTCCTATCAGGTGGCTTGTACCACTGGTGGTAGAAGTAGGGCAGTCCTATATGAGACAGTCAGTCATGCATGTACCGCACCAGTGGTTCAGGCCACCTGGCAGAGAGACATACGGATTCTAGCCCTATCATGAATGTGTTAAAGGCAGAGACTATGTCCATTCAAAGGTATAACTAGTAGCTTAGAGGCTGGATGAATAAATGCACAAATTCCTCACAATACTTGTTTAACATCCTGCCTAAAAAGAGTATCTGGGAAATGTCTGCTAAATAAAAAAAAAAAAAAAAAAAAAGAGGGAAGATGTTTATACTATCAATGTTATTCCATGGTAAATTTATTAGCTGTTAATGAAATTATTACTTTTAATTAGGTCAAAATAACAGCTTTATTTATTTTTTGATATAGGGGCTTGTTTTGAACTTGAGGTGATCCTCCTTTCTCAGCCTCCTGAGTGCTGGGATTAAAGCTGACCACAGCCAGCAAAATAACAGTTCATAACTGTCACTAATTCATTATAAAATTCAGCAAGTCAGCAAATAAGTAACAAATGTTCATTTAAGCCCAATTGTCCTTTTACTTTTTAGGGATATTCTTAGCCACCTTCCTTCCCTTCCTCCTCACCCCCACCAGGATTCACTAGGAACCTACTATATCCCTGATAATGATGCCACACCAAGGGTTGGCAAACCTTTTCTTAAAGGGTAAGAAAGAAAAGGAAAAATGAGATCCTAAAACAGTCAATTGGCTTATCTGAAGAAGTGCCAGAAAACTAAAGGGTAACCATGGGGTCAAAGAAAACTGAAAAGGACTGCCTACTTATGCAGCATCAGTGTGCCTCAAAATCTACACATGCTTCTGCCAAGAAAACAGCCTATGATTTTCTGAGTCTTTGGGATGCACAAAGGGACAGAAGGTTTTATGGCTGGCAAGAGACAGAGGATCTGAGTATTTCTTTGTGCTGAAATGCTAACACTACTTTTCAGCCCCACTATAATTCTGGGAAAGTATCTGCTTTGGAATAAGGCATTATAACTTTATTAAGAACTGTGGGCCAGGCATGGTAGTGCGCATCTGTAACCCCAGCTACTCATGAGGCTGTAGCAAGCAGAATTTAAGTTTGAGGCCAGTATACGTGACTTAGGAAGACTGTCTCTTTGGATGGCGGGGAGAGAAAAAAATAAGAGAGAATGGACTGGGGATGTAGCTCAGTGAGTTATTTACCTAGCTTGTGAGAGAACCCTGGGTTCAATCCCCAGTACTATAAAACAAAACAAGAGAACTTTGGAACAGGTAAAGCTAACTCCTCCATTCCCCTTCAAACATCTTAGCTCTGGAGGATGAATTCTCTTAAAAGATACAGGCTTTTCAAGCAACCTATTGCTCTAAATAAAAATCTCAGGTAGAATTATTAATGAATAGATGATTTGGAGGACTTGGCAACTACAGGTTCTGACAACTCCAAACCCTTTGATCAAAAGCTTCTCGTTAAAAAAAAAAAAAAAAAAAAAAAAAAAAAAAAAAATACTGCAACCTATTTGAAAAAAAAATTTTGAAGGCAAGAGAATCAGGAGAAGAAAGCAATAAGGCTGTTTAGGATTCTTTTGTTTTAATTTTTTTAATTTTTTGAGACAGGGTCTCACTATGTAGTTGACACTGACCTGGAACTCACTATGTATCCCAGGCTGGTGTCGAACTCACAGTGATCCTCCTGCCTCAGCCTCCCAAGTGCTGGGATTACAGGCGTGTGCCACCACGCCTGGCATTAGGATTCTTAAACAAGGTAAATTCATCTCTCATGTGCTTCCTAAAAACTTATTTTATGCTGATTGTTAATACAATTAATTTCAGAATACCATTACAAAAATGTCCTCTCAATTATTTTCAACTGCCACCAAGAAAGCAAGTCAGTCTTATTTCTAGAGATGCTGCTCTTCGCTCATTAAAACTGACAGTCCCAAAGAAATACAGTTTAAAATATTTCCACTAGATGAGGATTGAGTCCATCATGTGTTTTCTTTAGAATGTGCCTTCTAACAGATGTTCACAATAACAAAGATATCACTGAAAAGTTATTAAAAAGTGGCTAATTTAGCTCAGTGGTTCCGCTTCCTGCCTTGCATGCACAAGGACCTGAGTTCGATCCCCGGTACAAAAAAAAAAAAAGAAAAAGAAAAAGAAAAAGAAAAACAGTTCAAGAGAGTGGGAAGTCAAAAACCCTCAGTTAGCACTGAGTGTTTCCAAGTCAAATTATTTCTGAATTCAAAAACCAGTGCTTAAGATTACCAGTGCAGTGGTAATTTATATATGAAAATGTTGAAAGATATTTACTAATACAGCACCTGCTGGTAAATGTGGGCTTATGCCTTATCTGCTATATGGAGAACTTGATCAATTTATCAGACTTCTTTAAACACTGCAATCTCCATAATACACAAATTCACCCTTCAGATTGTTTTATTAGGGAACAGAAGATGTTTAAACATTCTGGAACAAGATGGTGTCAGTAGACTACTAGGCAATTCATACTTCACCATAAGAGAATAGTTGACAATAGTCCAAGGTATCCAAGTCTCAAAGACACAGAACAACAGACTCACCTTACAAATTGATCTCGGCCACCCACTGCAAACTGATGGGTATTGGCGGGATTCACAAAGATTGTATACAGTCCCACTTTCTTCTCTTTTTCTTTTGTCACCACCAGTTTCCTTTAAGAAGAGAAAAGCATAAAAAGCTATATTCTCCAAAAAACCTAGATGGTCATCATAAGTGAGAACCTAGGAAGTAGACGTGGCTAGTAAGAAACCCAAAAGATTCTCATCAGGGGCTGGGGATTTAGCTCAGTGGCACTGCTCTGTCCTGAATTCAATTCCTGGTAGCAAAAAAAAAAAAAAAAGTTGATTTTATTATTTTGAACACTGAAAGAAAAAACACCTATGTATTCTATAAGCTACTCTGAAGATGGGGGAGCATACAGTAAAGTCATTTTATAGAAATGACAATTTTATAGAAATGACTTTCCTTAAAGTATAAACATTTTTTTTTCTTTTTTTTGAGACAGGGTCTAAATAAATCACTAAATTGCCCAGGTTGGGCTTGAACTTGTAATTCTCCTGCCTCAGCCTTCCAGAGTGCTGAGATTATAGGTGTGCATCACCACTCACTCCCTGGTAGGTAGTATGTCCAACCAATATGGTAATGTTCAATCCTTGAGGAGACATACTGCCTCCATACCTTTCCATTCTTTATTTTTGCTTTGTTTTTGTTTTTTTGAGACAGGGTCTCACTACCAGTTCAGGCTGGCTTGATCTCACAGGGATCCACCTGTTTTAGCCTCAAGGGCTAAGATTATAGGCATGCACCACAGTGCTTCTTTATTTACATCTTCCTGGGGCCAGGGATTTAGCTCAATGGTTCTGCCATGTGCCTTGCAAGTGCCAGGTCCCGAGTTTGATCCCTGGCACCCAAAAGAAAAAAAAAAAAAAGCAGTACATCTTCCTAGTAACTCAGAAAAAAAGGAGAGGAGTAGAGGAAGACTCATAGAACAATGGGCTAAAAAAGACCTTAAGGTCAGAGTCTAATTCCCAGATTCTAGAGCAATGTCACTTAAAACACACACTGTCTTTAAAGCTGTACACTAAAAATCAGGCCATAGTATTCTGGCACAGAAGCAATCCAAAAGGAAACAGCACTCTTTTTCCCCTCATCTGAAGCAAACTATAAGAGAAGGTTCTAAGATAGCTGTTTGTAGAGCTGAAATAGCAGTTCTACATTTTCTTGGCTGTAACTCAAGAAGGGTGATACCTAGGAAAGCATGTGGCCCTATGGAAACCCCAGAGAACTTCAAAGTTTAGTCAGAAGAATCTAGTAAAACCATCAATCTATCCCAGCTTAAGGGTGGCAATGGAATAATCTTCCTTGATCTAGTGTCCAACCAGTCAAGTTAGACATCATGAAAATGAATAAAATTATAGGAAAGACATCAGGAAACCATAAGGGGCTTGTTTTAGCTTTTGCCTTTTATGTTAAGGTTTTATTCATGTCTGATGCTACACAAACAGAAAGAAATAGTATAACCGTGAAAATCAATTTCATCGGAAATAATTTTTGCATCCTCTCTAGATGGTCAGTTACTCCAGGCCAAAACTGCTTTACAGAGATTTTTGATCTTAAAATTTTTTGCAGCTTTCCATTAAAATAAAAGTGCAGAGATCATGGAAATGAATCCTCTCCACATGCCTCAAAACACACAAGACAGAGGGCTGGGGATTTAGCTCAGTGATTACGCTGCCTGTCCCACAAGTGCAAGGTCCCAAAATTCAATCCCTGGTACCCCCCCCACCCAAAAGCCAGGCGTGGTGGTGCACACCTGTAATCCCAGCACTCAGGAGGCTGAGGTAGGAGGATAGGAGGATCACTGTGAGTTCTCGAGACCAGCCTGAGCTACATAGTGAGTTCCAGGTCAGTCTCAACTACATAGTGAGACCCTGTCTCAAAAAAAAAAAAAAAAA